TACAGTGGGCAAAGATGTAGAATAATAGCAACGGATAGTCAAAGAAACATACAGCACATTAGTATTTTAGTTTGAGCTCTCTAGACAAGAGCCTTTAATAAATGCATAAACCTTGAGGCTTGAGTGCATGGCTTCATGTTGAAAGCTGCCAACTTCCTTTACATTCTCAAAACCATAAATACGAAATCGTTATTAGCCACTTTAAATAAAATTCCACATTCCTTTCAGATGCAAGCCATGTCTTTAAAAAGTCAAATCTATATTCAGAAGATATAGGGACAGGAAACAAAAGGAAGTAAGTTTTTACTGAATTTCAGCAACAGAGATATTCTGAAAAGAAGCATGATCAGAGCTCTTATTTATAGGAGTATAAGATTCCCAAGATTTGTGTGTGTGTATGTGTGTGTGTGTGTGTTTTAATGTTACCATTTCAGTTTTCCTTTTGAAAAAGACTCACTGACTCTTTAGTTGATTTTAGGAGAAAATCTCCAATAACTATGGTAGAATGTGAGACATTATTTTTGAATATATTGAACTCTACAGAATGCTTTAAGATCTGATAAGTCTTGTTCATCTCCTCTCAGCGATTGCATAGTTGGATTGCAGGTTGGGGACAGGATGCAGTTTAAATCTTGACCATAAGATTTAAAAAAAAAAAAAAAATGAATAAGGCAAGTAATGCTTGTGACTGCTCGATTGGTTCAGCCTAGATGAACACAAACAGGTGCCCCGTACCTTGCACTCAAAGGGACATTCTGCACATGGATATTGATAGCTCGTATTTTCAGAATTACATTAAAAATTGCGAGCATTAAGCATACCTTCAAATATTTGTTCTTTAGAAACCAGGTAGTTATTTTCCACGACTTCCCTCCTTTGGAAGACATTTCGGCTTGACCCTTCATCCTTTTAAAAGAAAATTCCTCGTTTCACAAATCTCTATTTTATCACAATGCTAGAGAGCCGAAATGAGTATTTGTCAAAGCAACATGAAGTAGAGCAGCTTCTGAGCTTTTTGTTTATAAATGTCATGATGCTATCTCGGCTGCTTCCACAGACATCTCTGACTGCTGTCTTTGGCAACTTACTGTGCTGCTCTCTTTGTTAAATTAAGCACTTTAGCCGTCCAATTTTATTTTTAAACAATAAATTTGGTAGTAGGTTTAGACATTCTCTAAAATTTTTAAAAAGTGGATATACTTTACTTTTATTACAATTGAATATTGTATTTTTTTTCTTGGTTTCTCTGCAATCTACTCCAAGGTTTTTGGATTTTTTGTTTTTATATATCATTTACATTATTCTTCATTTTGTACATTTTTCACTTCCGTTGTAACCCCTGTGGACTTCCCACCACCACTTCACTCCAAGGTTTTTAAACTCAAACTTCAGGGGCCTCCCAGGTGATGTAGGGTTAAAAGCACTAAAAAGCTATCTCTAGCCACAGAGGCATGAGATCCATCCCCGGCCAGGGTGCTGACTCTCATGGCACAACAGAGCTTTCCTGTCTTATCTGCTGCTCCCCTCAGCAATGTATTTCAGTGGATTTGCCTGTTCTGCTCCCCACTCTGCCTCTGGTGAATCCTCTAGCCCCCTTCAGCCCCAACCCCATTCCACACACCCCTCTGACCTGTAACTTACTTCTTCTATGCATAAATAAATAAATCTTAAAAAAAAAGACCCCTCTATTCCTCTATTTAAAAAAACATTACATTGGGTAAATAATCCAACTACAAATAAGAGAATCTGGGCATGGTCTAACATTGTGCAAAATGGAGCATGACATTTTATGTCATGACATAACATTTTATATCATGGGACGTTTTATATCATTTTAAATCATGTCACTCTAAAAGACAGAAGAATGAAGACAGTGGCCCTTGTAAGAAAAGGAAATAGACACCGCTTGTGGGAGCAAAGCCAACATAAGAAAGCAAAGTAGAGAACTATTTGAACAGAGATTTTAACCCTAGAAAGCCTTAACAATACCCATCAAATTCTGACTCACCGACTGCATGCTCACTGTTCAGAACGTCTTAACATGGGCTTTGAAAAAAGGGAGCTGCACTGGTGTCCTGGCTAGTACCACGGGACAACTGGCTGGACCATAACCGCACCCCCAGGATGTAACACTCACTCATCTGGGTGTGGCTACACTCCAATTTTTATAGGCATTAAAAACAAAACAAAACACACACACACAAAAACACCCTCACCCTCAAACCTTTATCACTTAATTTACTAGTGAAAATTCTAACTTTCTCTCGATGGTCACATTCCATAAATAATATGGCATGAAAAAAAAATAAGTTCCAAAAAATTGAAAGCAAAATATTTAGGGCACAACAGCAGTCAATATGTTTAAATGGTGTCTTAATCTTGACTAGTAACACAAGATGAGAACACCTCGCCAGACATTTTAAGTAGATCCTGGAGTGCACTCTGTAATCTACCATCAATTCATTTTGTAATATGAACAGCACTTTTATTTGAAAATGGAGATATATGAAAAACACAGTCCAGCTTTCTGGCTAAAGTTCTGAAGTCTTTTGTGACAGCGAGCCCTGGAAGGTCTTTTTGAGAATTTTCTAATGAACTTTCATTCAAAAATAAATGATTTGGCAGATGGGACATTTTCACTCTGATTGAATATACTATATTTCAGAATTTCTGTTCCTATGATTCCCTTTGCTATTTTTAGTAGATAGTAGCAGCTGTGGAATTAATTAATGTGCATTAAATTTTGAGCCAAAATAACATTAAAATGGAAATGGTAACACCTATAGTCACTTAATTACCCAAGTGGAACATCTAAAACAGTGCCAAAAAGTTAAAGTTAGGCAAAAAAGAGAAAAAAATAACAAAAGTTCTTTGAGCAGCTGAAATATTCATTGAATGATCATTTTACTCTATCTTTTTGCTCCTCTCTGAGACTCTTGGGTCAATGTTCTGGATAATAATATGTGTTTAGCAGGTGCTAGATGAAAAATTCTTTATGCCTGATGCAAAAGAACCCCTTTAGTTACTTCCTGTTCCACAGACAATAAACACCAGGAGTCTATAAGGAGATTAAGGAAGAAGGAAATGATACAGAATCACAGATCTCTTCTGGGGCTGAGGGAGAAAATTTATAATCTGAGAATGAGGTGATTAGAAAAGGAACAGGCCTAACAACCACAAGACCAAAACAACTTTGCACACCTTAATATAACATAAAAGCACCTTTGCAGCCCTGTGATTAAGGAAAAGTAAAAACGTACCTTGTAATGATATCCTGGTCTCATCCTAAAGTCTTACCATACTGGGTTTTTATTTATCCCAAAGAGAAATGATTAATCTAAATAATTCTGGCACTGAGAATCAGCCTAGTAATGATGACAATAACCAACTTGGCAGAAAACATAGCCTATTTAAATTAGCATTAAATTTTGTCACTCTCTATAGATTTCTAAATTAATTCTTTGGTTGATTTTCAAAATACACATATCTTTTTATATTTGATCTTTATCACCTTCTTCTAGGTCTGCAGGGTCTCTTTGTAGAGGGGGACACACTTATATGACTTCCGATCATTCACTGGAAAATCATCTTTTCAGGTTTCATGTAATTAAAATTCAACAAAAGGAAAACCTTAATTCTCCATTGCACTGCCATTTCTCAAGTGCTCAGGAACTGCATGTGGCTTGTGATTTTTGTCTTGGCCAGTTATAGTCCTTTTTTTTAAAGTATTTATTTATTTATGCATACAGAACTGGGATACAGGCCAGAAGGGCAGGGGCCATAAGAGGATTCACCAGAGACAGAGCGGGGAGCAGAACAGGCCGACTGACAAAGTACACTGCTGAGGGGAGCAGCGGAAAGGTCAGGAGAGGTCTGCCGCGCCCTGTGGGTCACCCTCCTGACCAGGGATCAAACTTGTGCTGAAGCTAAATTCTCAGTGCTGAACTTTAACCCACTGCGCCTCCAGAGAGGGCCCAATTTAAAACTATATTAATAGAAGTTGCATATAATTCAATTATAAACTGTACTGAAATATTAGGCAAGGCTGGATGCTATATATATTTCTGTAGAAAAAAAAAAACACCCTGTTTTTCTTTGTTTCTCAGTTTCTATGTACCAAAAGTGTTGGTCCAAATAATTCCTAAAACATTACATAATATATATGTAGTATTTAAAAATTGAAACAAAGATAAAAATAATGTCTTTGTCCACATTAACATTAAATTTTATCACTCTCTCTAGATTTCTAAATAAATTCTTTGGTTGATTTTCAAAATACACATATCTTTTTATATTTGATCCTTATCGCTTTCTTCTGGGTCTGCAATGTCTCTTTGTAGAGGAGGACAGTTAGTTTGTGCAGGTTAAGTGACTTATCCAAGGTGGCTGGTCAGCTGGAGAACCAGAGCCAGAACCACGCTCACAGGCTTGTCTCTTTCTCCACAACTTCTCAGAGCCAAACTACAAAGTATTTTTAGTATTTCCACTCACTCCATGTCATGTAGAGCCAACACATAATGATTTACATAAGGCAATAAAATAATGTATTCTACAGAGAGAAAACTGGGCTTGGATAATTTTGGACAAAGACCCAAAATCTCTTAAGCTGAAGTCATCATTTGAGCTTCTTCAGAGGGAATTTTCTATCGGTGTTATTTCTCCTGACTTCAGGTAGATGGTTTGAGGGAGTGTTATTTTCCTTCTACACTCTCTGGGGGGACAGGTAGCAATAAAGTCAGGAGCATAAGTTTTAGCATGTGGCAGAGTCCTGCTCTTGTTACAGGGTAGCCCAGAGTGGACTGGGCCACCTGTCTGTGGGGCCTCACCCGCATGCTCACAATTCAGTTATACTGCAGGTGCACACAAAAGGGTCAATAACGGGTTTATTTACAAAAGGGGAAAGGAATAGGAAACAACCCAGGGAAAGAGAGCGGGATACAAAATCACTGGAATACCTTACGGGTAGGCTGACAGAACACACCGAGTCACGTGGTCAGGAGAGCTGCTTCCCGAGCGAGAGATTGCGAGATGCAATCGCGCCTTATTTATCCCCCAAATGTCCCAGAATTCCTGCTAGCTCTGCCCTTGGGTCCTCGCAGTTCTCTCCCTGGTACTGCTGGGAGTTGTAGTTTCCAAACACTGGGGTAGGTGTAGAGTCCAGAAAGCTGGAGCAGGGGGTGGAGTCCATAAGACTCTGCAGAGTTCCTTTAGGACATCCTTCCCCTTAACGCTCTCAGATGTCAGGGGCAGGGCCCCAGGCTTAAGAGTCTGTTCGTCCATCCATCCATCATCTATCTATCTATCTATCTATCTATCTATCTATCTATCTATCTATCTATCTATCTATCTATCTATGCATACAGAACTGGGGTAAGGCCAAAGGCGCAGGGGCAGTGAGAGGATTCACCAGAGACAGAGTGGGGATCAGAACAGGCAGATGGACGAGTACACTGCTGAGGGGAGCAGCAGGTGGGTCAGGAAGGTCTGCTGCACCATGTAAGTCAGTTCTTTGACTGGGGATATAACTCATGTTGCAGCTGTTGTGACTAGCTTTGCAGGGCTGTGCTTTGTCCTGCTGTGTCACCAGGGAGAGCCCTATGGCTTATGAATTTAAAATGCACATGACACTACCTCACACCCCCGAGAATTTCTCATATCAAAACTATGAACAAAGATTGTAGTGGGTATAGGAAATGTACTCTTGTACACCATTAGTGAGTAAGCAGACTGGCCCAGCTATTTTGGAAAAGAGCATGGTGACTTCTCTAAATGTTAAAATTTGATCCATCATATGGTCCAGCAATTCTGCTCCTCAGAATCTACTTGGAAAATATGGAATCACTGATTCTAAGGAGTATATGCACCCCTATTTATTACAGCATTTGTTGAAATATCAAGTTATTTAA